AGCAAAGAAAATGGGCTGAAAATCAGGCCCTGTGTACTCTTTCCAGTTAACAGCATATTTTTCCCACTTCAGCTTTCTAGGCTTATTAATTTCTTTGGTTTGTTCGTATGGAGTGATTTCCACAAGTGCAGTCTGAGGTCTCTGAATTGCTGCAGTGCTGCTTAGGATCTCAGCATAGACTTACAGAAACTCAAGTGACGCTTAGAAATTGTATCATCTCTCTGAAAGGGAGACAATCCAAACTTATCCTCCTTTCACCTGTCTTTCCTGATCATCACCTACTGCAACACAAAATTGATAAGCTACATATTAATTTTATGGTACCCAAAAATTGCTCAGAAATTTCCCAGGCAATACCAGAAGGTGTAATAAAAAGATAAAAAGAAATAATTGTTGGTCATCGAGTTGCCTGAATGAGTTTTGATTTTGCTAGTCCTGCAGTGAACAAACATGCTTTTACTATCACCTAGTGGCCAAGTGTGATACCTCACATAAATTTAATTTCTCGTGCTGGAGATGACTGTTGGGTTTTCATGGGCTTTTCACAAAATTTACTTAGGCAAACTAAATAGATACTATGTGAAATAAATAGAGAGTTTGTCAATGTTGAAGTTGTGTGTAGAACTGGGGCTGCTCTACTGTCAGGTGTGGTGGTGGTGTTGTTCATTGATGCATGGCTGTCTCATTCAAGTCCAGATATTTCACTGAGACATGGCACAGCTGGCAAAACTGATATTTTCAGTTTTTTTAAAGCACACTGTGAAAACTCAACAAAGTTTTGACATAGGAGGTATTTTTCCAATTAAAAAAAAAATCCGTTAAATTTTATTTGGAAAGCTTGGAAAGGAATTTTTTTTGAACACAGCATATTAATTTTTATGTGGAAGGTATTCATATACCAAAAGAATGGCTTATACTATGAGGTAATGAGTGACAATCTAAAACTATAAGCAGTAGAACATTCTGCTGCTTTAACTACCTGCACATAAACAACTCTTCCTTAGGCACAGAACTATAGTTTAAAAAAAAAAAAAAGGTGCTTATACTAGAGTAGGGCATCACAGTTCAGCAATAAATCACACCTCTCATAATTGTAGCTATGACTGGCAAAACTTAATGCAAGACCAATCCCCATGTAAATAACTAGGGAGACAGATTAAGCTTATTGCAAAGTAAGGAATAACTTTTCCCAAAGTAGTGGGCTCCCAATACTTTGCAGTCTTATGAAATTTTTCCTTAACTTTATTCATCTGTAATAATAATGACTGTTCTTCAATAATAATGTGAATTGGAAGTGTCCAGAAAAGTTAAGGGTTTTCCTGGCCTATTATTTATTAACTCTGATATTGTCTCTGACAACATGTGGTTGATTTCAGTTCCACTTCCCGTAACTAAGGGTCATTGATCTAATACCATGTAGTATTAAATCATCAGCCCAGTGTTAGGTTACGTGTGCTACTCGCTCCGCCTTTGAATAAATACATCATCCTTATGGTTGACTCTTTTAGACAAGGAGAAAATATGTGGAGAACAAGACGCTTCTGGAAGACAAAGACTACAAAGTGATGTCTTTTCAGCTCTCCAGTGATTTTGCAGGCATGACTTTTATTGAAGTTTGTCGGTATGTGGAACAGGCATGGTTGTTTTTCTATTTCCCTTCAGATGTGTCTTTTCACAATACAGACAGGTCCAGATATTTCTGCTCTTTTGTGACTGTAACCTGTTTTCTTTCCCCAGGTTGTGCTTTGTAAAACTGAACCTTGTCTTGTTGGGTATTGAACTCAAATTTGGCAGTCAAGGAGAGAGGTAATTGTCTGGGAGACTTCTCTTTCAGCAAGAAGTCAACTAATTCCAAACGAAAAATTTTTTAAAAAGACTTGAGAGCAAACTCCTTCCAAGTTTGCACAAAGCTTATACATCTCTGTATTCCCTATACACAATATTTAGGAGACCAGAACTGTCTGTTCTGGTTGCTGAAGTGCCTAGTGGGTGAATTTTACCATATGCAACAGTCTCCTCTGTCTCCTTTTTTTTTTCCTCACATAATCAGGCAGGAGACAGGGAATGAAACACCATCCTCACCTTCCATTCCACGTGCAGTTCTCACTTTGATTTGGCATGACTCAAGCATATTTATTTTCCTTGGTAATGGAAATGCCTCCTCATTTTTTAACCACGTGAGTTTGCAGAGGCTCCTAAATGCTATAAAGCATTGTCATAAAGGGATAATTTGTCAATGCTGGCAGCAGAGCTCTGAAGCTGATCTGGTCCTGGGCCAGATAACACTCTCTGTCTGTTCTAATGATGAAATACAAGACATCCTAATGGGGAAGCTGGAACTAGTTCAGAAAGGGGAATAAATGAACACCATAGATTTTAGAAAAGCTCGAGAAATGGTCCAGAAAATGTAGGCTATTGAGTGCAAATATTGCTCTTTCCACTTTTATAAAGGAAGTGGCTGTTTTGAGCAAACTGTGGAATAGAAACTCTGAGAGCAAAATGAAGGGGGGTAGGGAAACACTGCTGTGAGGAAT